AGCAAGCCACGAGCTGAGGAATTTGTAAATTTCTGCTTAGCGTCAATTCCCAATAAAAGCTTCAATTTTTATTGCCATGGTGCAAAGAACATTTGAATAACCGAGCAGTATATTGAACGGTGAGCTCTTTCTTGGATGTTTTCAGAGGAATGCCATCACAAAAGCTGGAATGTATGAATGAATTTCCGATGAGAATAGCGGCTCATGGGCTGACCAAAATGCAGGGACGATGTGAGATTCTCCGATGAAACGACGATACTTTGTGATCGAAATTCCCTTCACTGCCGCGACCTAACGAGTTTGGAGCGTTTAAGAGGTTTCATGCTAAGAGATTCTCGCGCATCTGCATCGCTGAAACTTGCATTATATGAAACTCTTAAGAGGTTTCATGCTAAGAGATTCTATCGCATCTGCATTGCAGAAACTTGCATTATACGAAACTCTTAAGAGATTTCATGCTAAGAGATTCTCGCGCATCTGCATCGCTGAAACTTGCATTATACGAAACTTAATAGGTTTCATGCTAAGAGATTCTGTCGCATCTGCATCGCTGAAACTTGCATGATACGAAACTATTAAAAGGTTTCATGCTAAGAGATTCTCGCGCATCTGCATCGCTGAAACTTGCATTATGTGAAACACTTAAGAGGTTTCATGCTAAGAGATTCTCTCACATCTGCAGCACCCAAATCTCGCATTCACTGAAACTTTCAAGAGGTTACCGCTAAGAGATTCTCTCGTATCTGCATCGCCTGAACTTTATCTTATGCAACGTTATAGAGTTTAACGTTAAGATATTCTCTCACGTTAAGAGATTCTCTCCTAAACCTGTACTATTTGAAACTTTCAAGAAGTTTAACGGTAAGAGATTATCACGTATATGTATCATCTAACCTGTTTGTTATGGATTTCGTAAAAGATTTAATACTCAGAGCATCCCGTATCTGCATCGCCTAAGGCAGTATGGTGAAAAAGGCATCAGAGGGTTCAATACTCAGGATTTAACCCTCTCTTGATTGCAACTGGACCATCATTATTCAGTTTAGTGTGAAGCGTTCAGAGGGTTGATAATGGACGGCCATATCACCTCTCAGCAGAGCAAGGATTTGCCGAAATAGAAACGGAAAAAATCTCTTCCTTTCAAAGAGGCATAATTATACCTAATCTTTTGCTTATTGTTCATCTATATGAATTATTTAGAATAATGGGTCCTTGAACATATCGAGAAGCCAATTTAAAGGAATATATTTATTGGTGTAAAGAAGTAAACATCTTCAGACTTATCACTACGCCACTACGCCGAATCAATTTAAAAAGATGACCGGTATATAAAAGTAGCGGTTCAAATTTAATTTAAAATATTTATTAGTATCAATTCTTTTTCGGAAGAAAAATTTGAGCTTACAAATTAGTATTGAACATATTTCTATTTGCAGCTCAGCGAAGTTGCAGGTGCTGCAAAAAATATAATGTATCACTTCCGAACATATTGAGCAGTGAGCAGTTTTTATGAATTAGGTTCAACGATCACAGTCTTTTTATTACAAAAGAACGTATAGAAAAAAATCACGAATTTCCTGAAGATAACAGTGCTACTTACAAAATTGCTATCTCACCTTTATGCTTGCCATTGCAGCTAAATTTATGATGCTCCACGTCAGTTACAAAAGGTGAACGAGTGTGGAGAATAGACCTATTAAATGCCCCATAAAAATATATTGCCTCGAAATTTATGGATCTCGGCTTCCGTTGCCAGTTCTGAATCCTATAAAGATTTCAAAACACTGATGTCACTGGGGCATCTCAGACTAAGATTTACTCCATTGTTCACACTTCGTGTTTTTCGTCAATGGATGATGTACTTTATAGTATTCATGCGTGATTTTCGTCGAAAACATTGGTTGGAAATGCTATCGTTAAATTTAGGTCTCTCAGGAGATGTGTTTTATTATCACTGATAAGTTATACAGTGATATTAACGACACATTTTGTAGGAGATGAAAATTAATGGTTGGGAAGCGCCAGAATATTTCAACTGCAAAATGCCATATGATAAACCATGGCGTGCAATTTCCAACAAACGACTTTAGGCTTAAAAAATCTGCGTTAATTTTAAGAAACATTTAAGTGCCATTTGATGAAATTCGCATTCGTAATGGAGGAAAATATTGTGAGAGGTACAATTTTTGTAGTTTTGAAAAAATGCCTTAGATTTTTGATAATTTTTTCAGTTTTCGTTTCTTATTGTTGATCCCCTATAGTGTTCTAAATTTTCAGAATAAATGTAAGCCTTTTTTATATGTTTCTGCCTTAAGTGCTAGAAGTTTGCTCAGTTTAAATGATCACTTAAAAAAATTTCACGTCCATATAATGAAGTCAAATAAAATTATGAGCGCTTAATATCTAATTATTTTTCAGAATATAATTTTTTATGTTCCCACTATCTCTATTAGCGGAGCAAATTTTCAGATTTTTATGAAGCCAATTAATTTCTTAGTAGACATATAAATGTTGACCATTAATTAAAAATAGGCGCACGATACAGTTAATCGTGCGCCTATTTTTAATTAATGGTCTTACATTTACCGTCGACTGATAATTTCTCGAGCGTTTTTGAATGAATTATAATTATATATGAAGGTTCTAATTTCTCCACAATCAGAAATATTAAATCAAAACGAAACAATTCTATGTTTCTCAGTACTTCTCAGCGCTATGACCATTCTCAAATAAACTAAATTATCTAATATTTATTCATATTCCTATTTACTTGCGTCCTAAACATATTGTAGCTTTTAAATCTCATTAGCGGTACACAGTTTTTAGAGCCTGCAGCATATCCTAAACGCTGGCGAACGCTAGCGCTTGGCTAGGAACTTGGGGGAAATTCTTGGGATGCCAGGCGTTCTCCGCGTTTGCCGAGCAGCCGTCAGAGGAGCATTTTTTTGGCAGGTCGTTGCCGTAGCGTCAGAAAGCGATTGATCATGTAACTGCCCATCACACCGGAATTGGCTTGGTATAAATCATGCACGAAAAAACTCAGTGAGACATTATCTTCCGAGTATGTAGACAAGAAACTAATAAGATGGGACTTGAAGTAATGTAAGGTAATTTTCTTTATGTCTGTGAGCCCCTTATAGTAGCAGGTAAAAAAGTGAGCTAAGATCCAAATGAATTATTAAAGGCGTATAGTCTAACTTGATTCAAAACATGAACTATAATCGCAATTGTGATAAGTATAATATTTTTTTCAGTGCATAACCGCAGCCCATGAATTCTTATGTGAAATAACTCAGATAACATGGAATGTACATTTTTGCAGTGATTTTGTACATTCATTCTCTTCAGAGCTTAAGCTATTTTTTGTAGTGAGGAAGAATTCTCAGTAAATTTTTGGTTTTCAATGCCGACAAAACATTTTTTTTGATGCACGATACGGCGTCGAGTTACTGTCCAGTGACGCTTGTACCTGCACAGACTGGTCGTCCTTTAGGTTAGACCGCTCAAGCCAACAACAATCGATAAGCTCACAAGCTGAACACTCCAGGCTTCACTTTTGTCTGCTTCCAGGGGCCTGTGGCGTGTGAATCCAAAGAAGAAATTAGGATAAATTTAATCACAGATGAAAAATAACCTCATTTCGTAGTGAAATTAGCATTAGATAGGAGCTAAATAGCTCGGATTACTGGATTCCTTGAACGGAATATTGTTTTATGGAGAAAACTGACACAAAAATTATCGCTTGAAAGTAACAGTTGTTTGCTGTTACTTTAAAACAGGGAAATATTTAGAATCATATTGAAATTTTCAACGAATAGACAAAGAATTGAATCATTATTATGCCGTGCATATTTTTAGAGGAATATCGACGTCATTTTTAGCGCATTTTCTCATTTATGGAAAAAATGCACTATTGTGCTCGCCATGTCCGTCCGTCTGTCCGTCTGTCCGTCCGTCTGTCCGTGACCTCAAGTTTTCGTCGACGAGAAAATGCGCTCTCTGTCACTCACTGCAGTGAGTACTGAGTTATATTTTTTAGATTTCCGGACAGGGATAATGGCTTCTTGGTACTTTTGGTATTTTTCTGCAGAATACACATTCTCGAAGGAAGCGAAACAGTTCCGCTGCGTTTTATTCTCATTTTTTATTTAAACCTTGATGGTTTCGTGAAGAATACCGATAGTTTCAAGCTTTATTATGATATCAAATCGCTTGATTACTTTTAAAGCGAATCAGCTGAAAATAAACTGGCAGTTAATATAATTAGAAAACTGATCGCAGTTGAATGATAACCTTCCGGAGACGAGCTTCATCGTCACTTAAAAAGTTGTTTCTAATTCTTATTTCTATAGTTAAGTTTTAGCCTAATTTATAAAATTATTTCAATATATTGTGCCCGGAAACTCTTGGCACCCTAAAATAACTTCTGTTTGATCAAAAAATCGTTTTTTCCAGGTATAGATAGTTGATAAGTGCACACGTTCTACAGAACGGCGACAGGATTGCGTTCAACAATCAGTACCGAAGCAATAATATTCTTCACGAATTATATAGAATTAAAATTAGGTTATTACTTTATACAAGTTATAAGAACCTCAGTGATATCTCTAATTTTCGTTATAGCTGAAATTGCAATAAATATTTATATCTATTTTCACGGTTGTTCGGTGCATAATAATAGAAAACAATTTCATGAGTAATTCATTCTTCTTTATAAATTTTACAATTTTGGAACAAATTCAATTTTTCATCCAACTGTTGTTGGTTGAAAACATTGGTTTCGAATGTAATAGTTAACTTACTTTCTTTTGTGGTGAATAATTACTTCACACTTTTGATGAACTGAACTACGTCCAAATTGAATTCACTTGAAGAATTCATCATATCTGTTGGTGCCTGTTTTATTTGTGGGTGAAAATTTACGTGAGTTAAATTCACTGAGTGACACATAATAATAAACTCTCACGAGTGGAAACGATTGGTGAAGTGAAAATTGTGTCGTTAATTACAAGACTCTCGAATATCGATGTTGAAAATCATCAGTATTTTTGACGATCCTCAGATGCAACTGACATGGCTATACATTAATAACCCCATTGATTCTCAGTGATGAATAATAATAGACTGAAATCTTTGAAGAATAACTGAAGGTGGATTGCAAATCCATCAACCATTACGCTTTTATGGTGAAAACTTCCAGCAACAATTTGTGGGGGATGGCTACAGCTTGCATAGTCGGCCCATCACATCCACACACCATCCACCAATCTGCGCATACCACTCACCATCAGCTCCTCACCGCTCTTCTTCCCCACAACGCACATATCCCACACTTGAACCTACAACACTTCACTCCTGGACTCACCCCTCACCTCTCCATTCTGCACGAGGCTACTAGAAACCACATCCAGTTGGCTTTACATGCTCCCTCTCCTACAACCATAAGCCTACCGTCCGGTGTCCAGTTCAGTTTACCTCCAGCCACTGCTCAACAACAAATTTCTCTCCCTGCTCCATCTCAATTATCTTTGGCTGGAGCAGCGCCGTTGAATTTTCCGCCACCTACGCCTCAGCTGGCACTTCCAGCGCCTCCGCCTGCCGCTCCCCAGCAAATTTCGTTACCCTCGAACGGACTCCACGGCAGCGCTCCTCCCGCCTCGAGCTCCAGGGCCGCCGCCCCGCCTGCCGCTACCGTCAAGCCACAGACGAGCAGCGCTAGTCCAGCGTCCTCGGTCGCGCTCTCGTCTGCCTCGACGCCTACGGTCTCTGTGCGACCTGCTACTCATGAGCCCAGCGAACTCAGAACTCTGTGAGTATTGAATTTTATTTCTTTCCGTTCATTGATTAATTAATTAAACCAGTTGATTGATTGATTAATTAATTGTAAGTTTCTATCAACACTGAGGGACCAAGCGAATTCAGAAGTTTGAGATCATTGAAATTTATTTCTCGTTTGAGCATTGATTAATTATTAATTAATTTCCGAGCTTATGTAAACATTAGAGTTCCAGTGAACTCAGAGCAAACGCTTTCAATGTGCTGTGAGAACTTAATTCTAACTGCTGTAAGTGCATTGCTAATTAGCAATTTCGTTATTAAATACCTAAAAACCAGGTGCTCTTTGTGTTTGAACAGCATTTACCACGTTCATTTTATTTATTTTTGTTAACATAATCCTACATAATCAATAATCCTACATAATAATCCTACAGACGTCAATCAATTATTTACTGACGCAAAATAAGGCTCAGAATAAAAAAATGAAAACAAAATGATTCGATTCTATTGTTTGATTTATGTCTGACCTAAGGAAGAAACCCCTCCCGTGTTCATGGTCAAGTGAATCCAAAATAGAAGCCATAGCAATAATGAGATCTATTATAATAATTTTCTACTGATCGACACGCGCAGAAGACGACCTAACAAAATTTACCCTGATGTTCGAAAATCTCCAATTGTTTTTAGAACTGCACTGGCTGCAGAGAGGAACGGAAGGGCTACAGGACAAATTAGAACTCTAATTCTTTGATCTCGAACGAAGGTTTCGAGCGAATAATTCGGTCGCCCCTATATACCGCGCTGCCCAGGCTGTCTCTAACGAAGCTTGTTTGGAACTCCTTTGATGTCGCTCAAAATTCTCGATGAATATCATTAACTTGGAACCCATTGAAATAATATTACCCCTGAACCTGAAATGTTCAGCTTTCTGTTACAGTATTTAAGGATCTTCCAATTTGGGATTCAATTAATTTCCGAGTAACCGATATCACTGGGGAGAGACTGGAGAAAGGATTCGTGATTAGATGAGAATTTTTGTTTGGCAAAAGCCCTACCGAGAGGGCAAATTAGACAGAAAGCAAATTTATTAAATTTTGCTTGGCGATGATACAAGTCGAACCGTTTTGGCTTCAGTTTACTTTGTTGTGCATTAAAAATAAGTTGAGTTGTACATTAAAACAGTATTGTCATTTTGAGCTTGAACAACAGCATATATTGGAGATTTTGCAATTTTAGGAGCATCATTTTAATCAAGTCGTTTTAACAGCATTGTTTTGGTCAAGTTTTAATGGAAGAAATTTATGCTCCTGCTCAAATCTAAGGTGCAACTGATTTAATTAAAGGACTATAAATGCTTCTTCATATTCGTTGTCTGCACATCAAAAAAATTGTTTTATGGAAGGGCACTTTCTTTCATTTGTTTTCGATCGTGCCATGTGATTGTTTGTAATTAGTGTTTTCCATGAGACAAGTTCATCGAATAACCTTACCATTTTTTATATATCTCCGAAATGTCACTTATAAAATTATTGAAAACTAGGAATGTGCGATGTGTTAAGATTCAAAACTTAAAGTTTAAAAGGCATGCATCTGTGTGCTAATACAGTCATTTTGCTAGTCAAAATCCTAGCTGAAATCCCCAGGTAGCGTCGTACTAAGTATCGACAGCGGAAGCCAGAGTAACTCCTGCAGGGACTGTTTGTGTTTCCCAGAGCTTCGCCGCAGCCACAATGTCGAGGGCCCAAGACGACTGAAGTTCCCGCGTGTCCAGTCAACTTGGTCCCGTGATGATGTTGGTGAAGGGGTATACCCACTGCGAATAAAGGGAATATATCCCATTTCAATGTCAGTTTATTTTCAAGAATACATACATTAGCTTTGAGAAATACATTAGCTTTGAGAAATACATTAGCTTTGAGAAATACAGTAGCTTTGAGAGAAAGGAACTTAACGATAATTGCAAGTGAAACAATTTGTAATTTGAGCTGTATGTTTTTTTATGAGTCATTAAAAGCTCAAGATCTTATGAGATGGTACTCGCAGAACCCTACGTTGTTTTGTTATCTTCGAGTACTTTAAGATAGAAGATAATTAACACATTTTACAAAATTGAATATTTAATTATACCTTTTGCAAATTGTTAGAAGTTATCTGTAATTTACATGGTCTCAATTCACACTTCATAAATACTGAAGCGTGTTTAGTGAAGTCAGCTAATTATATATTGGCCTGATTTTTGCCGGTTTATGTTGACCGACGGTGAAGAGAGTGTCTGATAAATTATCTCGAGCCGAAGCGAGTAAAAAGTTATGTGTGAAATTATAAATTAAATTTAATTAACCCTAGCATTCATTACGACCAATAACTGCGACTGATAAACCAATGAAAATTCAAGTACCGAATTAAAATGAAACTATAAACTGTGAAATTTGGGAAAAGTAGAACGCTTGACTTATTCTTGCAGTGGTTAATACATAAAATATATTCATGGAACAGTTATTTGAGTTTTATGATATCAATGATCGCTGAACAAATCAGGTAACAAAATTTGGAAACTTCTCTGGTACTTTTTGTCGAAAACGTGTTACGAATTCGTTTTGAGCATATGCTGAATAAATTCATTTGCTGCAGTACAAAACATCTCAGTGCAGTACAGCGCAGTGCAGGGCTCAACAGATCTCAGTGCAGTACAGAGCAGTGCAGGGCTCAACAGATCTCAGTGCAGTACAGAGCAGTGCAGGGCTCAACAGATCTCAGTGCAGTACAGAGCAGTGCAGGGCTCAACAGATCTCAGTGCAGTACACAGCAGTGCAGGGCTCAACAGATCTCAGTGCAGTACACAGCAGTGCAGGGCTCAACAGATCTCAGTGCAGTACCTGTCTCTTATACACATCTAGATGTGTATAAGAGACAGGTACAGAGCAGTGCGTGACTCAACAGATCTCAGTGCAGTACACAGCAGTGCGGGAGCTTCTGCTAATTGTTGTCAATATTGGTTGCATTTAAATGAGAGATTATACAAATTAAATGTCAGCAATCCTAGTGGAAATACTTCTCTCAACAATATAATTCAAAAGACAGTAAATGAAATGGGAAACCAATCCGTACTCGTGTTTCATCCACACAATATTGTTCTCAATTTTCGATAGTGACCAATTCTATATTTGACATTGCCTTTTGACTCAATATTGATGAAAAGTTTCATCCGCTATAAGAACACCACTGAAATAGGATCTGAATCGTTATTATGGATATTTACTTATTAACTACATTTAATTCTCCCCGTTAAAACGGGAACGCATAAAGTTGGATGAATGCGAAATTATAATTTTTACATTCTGTTGAAAGTGAAAATAGTGAGTGTCACTATTTTTATGAAAATTGTATTTGCTCTCGAACTGGACGAGGCATTCGTTTGAAGTTGATAGCTAATATTTTATGAGGGAAATCGCCTCTGGAATTTTTTTGCCTCGGTAGCGCTACTTCGCTTTGCTCACTGCAAGCACGGTTTACGTTTCAGGAGGCTTTAGTTTACAAATATATATCAACTTGACGGTAATTATTTTATATTCAATAAAATGGTATGCAAAAATATCAATCATATTCCAATTTATACTGTAAACTTCGGCATTTAATTGATTTCTTTTATAAGTTTGTACATGTATTTTTTAGGTTGTGAAGAAATAATGGAAGAATGAATAAGACGAAATGCAATGAATGATCTGGCAGTTAATCTAAAGCCGAACTTCTCAATCAGGTATGGATGTCAATTAGAAAATATATTCACATAAAATTCATTACACGTCAATTCAATTTAATCGCACCAGCAATAAATTTTTTTGAATTCCTAACTTTTTATTGAATACCCGCACTTACGAGTATGTTTCTAAATCGTATATCCATTTATAACGATCTATTATTTAGAGCGTAGATGAAAAGTCTTACCTATGCAAATTGAACAAACCTTTGATGTATCATCATTTGAACTTCTACCCAAAATTACGTTCATTAAAATGAGATTGTTTGATTTTTTAATTCAACAAATATTTACAAGCATCAAGCAACTGGCAGTAAATCCTTTTTTTCTGCTTACTGTTTTTCAGCAGAGCGAATGGCTGTCAAGTGGTTCAGCAATCTCTAAGTACACAGCTATTCTGTATTTGCATGAGAATTTAGACGAACGTGCAGGGTAAAAATAAACGGATAACAAATTTGAAGCTGACCCTTCATTTGAAGGACGATTGGGCAGCTGGATTGGATCACTGCCGAGAGTGGGCCAACGTTGCAGACTGTATATCTTCTTGAGAGATGCCTAGGACCCTTGGCAATAGCTTGGCTGATTGCCCTCTGCAAACTCTGCAGTAAACACAGACCTGACTTAGCGGCAGCCTGCCAGCCTTGAAAGGAGTTCAGAGAAGCCAGTGACATGCAACAATTCCGTTTGGGAAATTCCTGGGTAGGTTTGGACGTAATCATATGCTTGGATTGGAGCACAATCGCCGTGTCAAACGAGCATGGCAAGTTCCGTGATGTAAGGAACTTCAAACGCCAAGCAGTTCTCGCGCAATAGCGTTTCATTTGTCAAACTGTAATTGGTTTTCGCAAATTCAGTATAATATATGTTTATAATAAAAATTACTTCAAGAAAATGTGTACAAGTAAGTTTTACCATTACAATTTTTAATAATTTCTAGCCAATTTATTACTCATAAAACAAATTTTTTGTCCGTAATTTATAGTTGACAATAAAACAGATGCAGAATATTAAGACTTAAATCATAAATTTTATCTAGAATTTAGTTTCCGTTTAGATTATGGATTTACGGAAACCAATAATATTCAGCGTTTAAGTATATTAACAATTTCTTATAAATGAACTCACAAGTTGTCATGGGGAGCAAGCTCCAAGCTGAGCAGTAACGTGCAATATTTTCAGCTTTACAGGCGCACAAACTTCACGTGGCGCTGGTTAGCAAAGTTCGGAGTCACATTCTGGTATTTTTTTGTTGGTTTAGGTCGTTAGATCTGGCG